CACAAGAAGTTAAGTAATGGTAGTGTGAACAATTATCAAATGATTTGATCAATTCTGAATATTACAAATAAAGGTAATGACAACATGCTCTCATTTCAATTGCTGAACATTCCCAGAAATGTTCACATCAATGACATGCACGTTTTACCATTCAAAGTATAGCTACAAGACTAGTTCAAAAGACCATTTTAACCATTTGCCAGATCAATATTGGTGATTATTATGAATTTTAATATATCTGCTTACTTATTTCAACTGATGCTACTGAACATTTGATAATGAATAGACATGAAAAAAATACAGATATATTTATCAAACATCTGTACAAAAAGCAAAAAAAAAAAACCAACTTGCCCAAGCTGTCAGATAATTGCATTTTTTTCTCGATGAACAGACAGGTTTCACAGACAAATACTTTCCCTATTAGAATTTAAATCTAGAATTTACTTCAGTATCCTTCTCCATGCTGTACATGCATTCGACAGGAACATGGACAGATCCAAGAGGGATCTTGGCACCCAACACTGTTTGATCGTCATATGCTCTTTGAAAATTGCATCTTCTTTTCTCTGTTTTTGCTCTTAATAATAAGACATATGAACATTCCTTTGTAGAAATAAATGATAATCTTTACTTGCAAAATTCAAGATGGCTGTCTGTCGACCATTTTGTTTTTATGATCAATTCCATACACAAACAGGCACAACCAGGGACCTAAAGAACCCTATACATGAAATTTGATAAAGATCTATAAAGTAGTTCTGAAGAAATAGTGATAAACTTTCAAAGTTAAAATCTAAGATGTTGGTCCGTCAACCAATTTTTTTTCTGATCACACCCAAAATTAAATCAGCACAACTAATGACAAAGGGGAACTCACATATGAAATTTGTGCAGGATCCATTAAGTACTTCTTAAATAATTCTAACAATCTTGAAATTTCAAATTCGAAGATGGCTGCCTGTCGACGATTTTGTTTTTCCGATCAGTCACATAATCAAACTGGCACAACCTGGGACCAAGAGGAAGCTACATATGAAATTTAAGGAAGATCCATCCAGTACTTGAACAAATAGCGATAACAAACTTTCAAAGCCAAAATCCAAGTTGGCCATCTTTTGGCCATTTTTTTTATCAGTTCCAAAATTGCTTGGGCACCATTAAAGACCAAGGGTACTCTACATTTGAAATCTGAGAATGATCCAGTAACTACTTCTCAAGAAAGAGCAATAACAAACTTTCAAAGTTAAAATACAAAATGGCCGCCCTACAGACAAATGGGAACCTACACATGGAATTTGAGAGAAACCCATCCCCTACTTTTATTCACTGTCGTGATCATGCAATGGATAGGACTTTTCAAGATGGCAGACCAACGTAACACTGGAAGGTAAGCTCTGCTTTCAAACGGTAATATCCATAATTTATATACTCACTATGATCATGAAACATTGTATTTGATTTGCAAATAGTGCAAATATTGTTGCATGTATCTATTTGGATCATTTAATTACAAAAAAAAAAAAAAGGATCTCAACATAAGTCTTGAAGTGACAGCTTGAGAACATCAACAAAAAGAAAAAAAAAAGAATCTCACCATTAAGTCTTGAAGTGACAGCTTGAGAATATCCAGTCTTCTAAAATGACACAGCAGAAAGTATTCTTCTGGATGTATAGTCTTTAAAAATATTCCTTACGTAAGGACAGAAAAAGACTTCATTCTGGATATCATTCACAAGTGAAGATCATAAAAAATTACAAAAGACCGCGAGAATACCTGTTGTAAAAGCATAAAATAGCGCGAGAGACGGATAAAATCCTGTATTCTGTCTCCTTGTATTGGACTTTCCATCAGCAAAAACATTTAAATGCACCAGAAGTGTAATGGCTATCACTCACTCATTCCTTACACAACATAAAATTAAGATAAAATGTTTCATGGTACATGTAATCTCAACATGACACAAAAAGCAACATGACTAGAGTCACAATGCTTCTTGAAACATGTCATAGAAATGATTCTGTTAAAAAAATAATATAACTTTTAAACCAATATGTTGTACACCTGAAGCAAATGTAAACTGTGTATACATTAACTGCTGTCCCATGTTAAGGCTTCTAACCAAGTTTGAAAAAAAAAGAACTTACAATCAAGGTTCACCATTCAGGAACAATAGAATATCTTTGAAATTTTGGTCAATTAGCCAAGATCAATATGTTCACATCAAACTGACAACTTACACTAATAAAAAAAAACTATCCAAGTTTGAACTATTTCTTAAAAAAATAAACAATTTTGCTCAAAAATGTCATTTTCCTACTTAAAATACAGCCAATTTGTCCCAAGCCGCGCTCACCCTGGACCTAAAAATGCAGTAGCCAAAAAAAAATAGCCAATTTTTTCGAACAGTAGTCTTGGTGATCGCAAGAAGTAATGGAGTACTCTTACAAATCAAATCATTTCACTATACATAATGTAATTCAATTACCTTATACATATTTATATTAGGTATGTTTTTGTTGTTGAAATGAATTTCTTGAATTTTGGTGAAAAATAAAACCACAAAATATAAAATTCCAACTATTTATTACAAAGCAGCAATAAATAACATCAATAAAACCAAGAGAGAAAGATCTCATTGTTGTTTCCCTCCCTTCTTATGCTGACGGCTGCTCCATGGCTGTTGTTGCCTGTAACATGAAAAGTTTATTTAAGATATGGCTCCATTGACTATCATTACGATAAATTCAGATTTGTATACTGTAATATTGTTGACTATAACACCTGTGATTACACAACATTTATAAATATTTCATGTTAGTTGATATTCATGTTTGATAACTTGGTACTTCTTCAGAATAATGCACCATACAGTAAAGGTATTCCTAACCTGAGACTCACAACAAATGGTGCAAAACATGAGTTTTGTTGAAGGTTTGTAATGTAACCAAGATCTACCAAATTTCCAGCTGTCCTCGAATTTACGCCCTGATGGTGTAGAAGGTTTAGCAATGGGGCTATCTCTAGTAGTTTCTTCATCAGGAGCTGTACTAATAACCCTATCTGTACTATAACCAGACTTAAATCCAAAAAGTGACAGCTTAGCAAGTTTTGATGGAGTGTTACTATCATTTTCAAGCTTAAAGTTCACCATGACACTACGATAAGCCTGCCAAAATAAAATGTTCAAACGGCAGCTATCAAGTGAGAAATGATTCAATCAATGAAAAAATGAAAGTATATAATGTGATATATTTATATGATACAAGTTGATTGTTTAAAGACGCCTGTAATTCAATCCTACAGTATTTGATACTTACCAATTATGCAAATTATGCTTCACTTGATCAGCAACTTTGGCAACTTCAATAACGCAAGTCATAACCAACCGCCACCGTTTCAAAATAAATGTCAATCTTAATGATAGACAAAGCATTGTGTGAATAATTGGAAGACAAGACTTCACAATGTTTAGTATTTATTCGATTCATTTGCAAACATTTTGCCCTCTGTCCAGCAGATGCTCAAACATCACAGTAGAATCAGGGTTATATATATATAAACACACACATATATATAATATGGTTACTCTTTTATATGCTTTCAGATAAGTAAACATGTCATGTGACACGTAGCATTATCACATTCTAAACTATTCATATCATCAGTAAAACCTTGGAAAGCAGAACTGCAAGTTTTCAAAAAAAAAAAAAGGTTGAATCAATATCACAACACCAATGCTGGATGCTTGATAAGAGAAAATAGAACAGGTAAGGGTTTTCCATTACCCGCAGATGAGGTTACAACCCCACCCCCTCCAAATGATGAAATTCATGACTTGCACCCCGCACCCCAATTTTCCAGCACTTTCCTTTACAAACTCCTATACAGATGTTTCAATTTCAAAAGCCAAGGGGAACAATTCAATTACCAAATCACCTACTTCCTCATAGCCATCATCGATCTTGATATAAATGGCTTTGCCTGTTATGGTGATTATCATATGTTATGAAACACCAGTACTATTTTACAAATGGAATAGGATGCTATATATGTATCATATTGCATCATAAATGGGTTCAATCATTCAGACATCCTGTAAATACTATATTTGAACGTCAACCCATCTCATCAGACTGATTTTAAGTGCTTTCAGGTTCATCCAAACAAAACCTTCGCTTGGAAAGTGACAGAGGCCAACTCAACTTTTGTGAAAACATATTTGTATTTAAGACTTAACTGAAAAAAATCAATTGATTTTATTGAGTGTCTAAATTCTGATGTTCAATGAATTGTTTAATGATAAATTATAAGCAATTTTGAACAAAAGTTTGATATATCAGGAGAGATTACAACTTGTCACAGGAAAACAACAGTATTGAGCATTTAATCATTTCAATCACATTTCTGGGTAGAGTATACATGTTCCTTTACAGCAACCGACAGCACATTATAGACTTTGTCTACGGACAAAAACTACTATTACCACTCAGCACTGCCGAAACCTTAATTGCTTCCATTAAAAACAAATTTCTTACGATATAAATAAAATTTCAAGACTGCAGAAATTGGAACTGAAAGTTTAGCTAAGACTATATTAAAAATATGTTTCAATTGATATTCAAATTTAACATCCGTTTCGTACAAGCAAGAAGGAAAATATGATGAATCATTATTTATTGTGTATTGAACGGAGTCGTTAATATAATTATATTCACGTAAATTCACATATAACATTGTCAAATATTATCAAACTATATCAAAGAGAATATGTATGAAAACAACTGTAATCCACCGCTTATAATCAACCAAATCAGCATTTTCAACCTACAATGGGGTGTGTAAAATTTACTTCCTCCATTTTCCGACTGCGTTAGTCATATTAGGTCATCATGGCTAGACTTCCTGTGTCATACCAATGAACTATAGACTCCAAATTATCATATTTTCATGTTTAACTAACACAGTGGTTAAAATAACGTTTTTTCTTAAAACTAACCTTTTAGCAACTGAGTAATGTCTGTCGAATGTCAGACGGAGGCCTTGCTGCGTCAGTGGTCTTCGTGAAAATGGACCTTGTGAAGTCACGCGGTAAAGTGGGACGGGCCAAACTGGCTGTCTGTCAGGTCACGTGACTAGACACCATTTTGGAACTCCCTTACTTGTTGCATACATATGTGATTTCATTCTTCTAGAAAATTCCATACCACGAGGAAGACTATAGCAACCAATCAACAGTCAAATATTCAAAACTTCGGTAGTGATTATGATTGAGTTATGAAAAGTGGATAGTAGCAGTAAATATGAAAAACCCTAATATTCTTGACGGGTGTAACAATAACCAGCATCAAAGCCGTGCCTTTCCTTCCCGTTGAGTCGTTCATTAACGTCAAAATGTCACTAATTAACCTCAAACTACAAATATAGCATGCAAATAACAGTAATAATCGATATTTCACAAAAAGAAATATAATTACTTGTTTCAAGCCGGGGTATGGTCTTCTCGGTTGGTCGCCTACCTGTCGGTTCCGCCTCACCTTAGTAAGTTCCGGCAAAGCGCCGTCTATTGCCCTTTCTCCGAAACTATAGGGGGAACCACTCTCACTCCGAGTGTGAATTCTCAATTTTTCCATCCCGACCAGAGACATAAATAGCAAATGGAACGACTCGTTTGACTTCGACGATGACACCAGCGTCCCAATCGCCTCTTTTTTGCCGATGATACTAAATTATATAAATCTTCACAAGTGGTCGAAAAAATGGCTACTAAAATTTCACCCTAATAAATGTAAAGTTCTTTCGCTCAAAGCGACCCAAAAACGAAAAACTATATGGAAGGATCTGGAGGAGAAAGAAACCAGCTGGGATATGTTACGTCACCATTGGTGAGGACTTGAACTTCAAAATGAACATACAGTTAATGGTCAATAAAGCAAACAATATGGCTGGATTTATAAGATCTTTTGTATATCTGGACGAATCCATGTTTTAAAATGCTGTTTTAAGCACCTGTTACACCCCACCTGGAATATGCTGCGAGTGTCTGGAACCCGTCAAAAGTAAAAGATAAAGAACTCATTGAAAAAGTGCGGAGAAAGGTTACAAAAGTACTTCCTGGACTTAAAAATCTGTCTTATCCGGAACGGTTGCAAAAGTTAAATCTGCCGACACTACAACAACGCAGGACAAGAGGAGACATGATAAACGTTTTCAAAATATTAACTGATAAATATGATGGTAGGGTAACAAGAAACTTTTCCCAGATGGACAATATGAATAGAACCAGAGGTCACGACCAAACAATATTTAAGAAGCGATGTCGTCTTGATAGCAGGAAGCATTTCTTCAGCTATCGAGTTGTAGATTTATGGAATAGCTTACCCAAAATGGTTGTCAATGCTGAATCTATTATACAATTTGAAATAAGGCTAGATGAACACTGGAAAAATAGTCCTTTACAGTAACTTATGTTAAGCTATTGTACAGAGAAATTATTTACAACATGCTATGTATTGATATTGTTATGGACATAAAGACTACAAGCCTGCGACCATTATTTATGCTATTAAATGCTTATAGATGAAATATGGAAACAGATATTTATTAACCTTTTTCGGACGACTAAAAGTTGGCTACAATACGTAGTTAATCATCACATTCTTACATCAAACTCCTTATTCTAAAATTGGCCTTGTTAACAGTGCATTTCGTTGTAAGATTGAAGTAGAGACACTAAGCCATATGTAATTGGAGTGTTCAGAGGTTAAGACTTTTCTACAAAACATTTAATTTCTTCTCGATACCGTGTCAATTCCATTTGCTTATAATAAAGAAACTTTCCTCCTATTCGGATTATTGGGTTATGATATAAGCTTCGATAGGGTTGATAATATAATATAATACTTCTAACAATAAAACAATATATGTATAGTACATGATGTTCACAAGCAATTTCATCAGCGCTTGCTTTATGCTGTCTTATTGAGGACTCGTATCACATTGAAAAATAGTCTGCTGTTGGCAAAAGGGAGATAATTTTTAGACAGATAGATAATGAATGGCGTAACTGGAAACTACTAATTGATACTTAAATCCTGGATCCGCAATCAATTAACCCGCTCATTTATAACTGCGCATCCCTTCCTGCCTGTCTGTCTCTTTCTTTTTCTGTCTCTCTCTGTCTCTCTCTCTTGTCTACAATTGATATTTCATTTAATGTAATGTTTGGCACAGGAATGGAGTGAAGTAAAAGCTGTCACGGAATCTAATATTTTTTCTCGAACATCTAAATATGTGTACTTCATACCACATACGTTTGTTGACATGGAAACGTTTATTGACATGGAAACGAGTAGTGCACATCCTCAATGCTGTTAGATATAATACTGCTTATTAGTGAGAGAAATTATCCGAAAATCAAAACAAACGAATTAAACTTAATCAGACAAATAGTTAAAAAGAACTGAAATATTTATTAAAAGAATATGATTTGGTGTCATAGGATCTATAGATAGATATAAGGTTAATATACCAATTACATATTAATGTCCGCATCCATTAATATATCAAAGAAAAGACTACTTCTATACCGGGGGCCGCGACAGGTCAATCGGCAGAGCGTTAGGAAAAAAAACTTTCGAATTCACATCGTTGTGCATAATCACATATAAAAGAAAATAAAACTTCAATAAGAAAATATCAAACATCTTTGATATTTTCTGTATAATTAGATTTTGCTTGAAATATCGTAATGATGTAATCATTTGTGTAATTGATATTTTAACTTTATGTATCTAAGACAACACGACAAAGCTTTTAATCTCAACTAAATAAAATTATTACAAGTACCCGCAGGATAGTGGTGATGACTATGAGTAGTGAGAAAACAATTCAACCGTAAGGAAATAATGACTACATGCAGCCCAAACAACGACATTTTCACTGGGCTCGGCGCCGAAGGAATAATTATTTCCATTTTCAATGTCAGTGAATTTCCATTTTTAGATGGTAACACACTTCTTACCCTGCAAACGGTGTTTGCATGCCACAATTTATTTGAGATTTAGGGATTGTTTCCGTTGTCACGATTCCACAGGATTTTGGGGAATAAGAGATTGTGGGTGCTATGGATATTTTGTTGTCGCCATATTGGTTTCTTAGAAAAAAATTAATAATATTCGATGTTCATTATTAGGTCTAGTGGTTTTGTGTTTTTTTTTTTTTTTTTGGTTCTCGTTTGAGACCGAGGCGTTACCTACTTGGATTGACCAATACTTGCTACAACTGGTGTCGTCAATGAAACAGAAGACGCTTACCCTTCTGAAATACCTGGTATTATTGTTATTGTGGAAAAATAGCCAAAACTGAATAATAAAATGCACTGTCATCATATTAAATAGACCCATTCTCTCCTTAATGTTTGCTTGTTAATCATGTGAACTTGTTCTCAACTGTTCACACTTACAAGTTTACCTTTTTAACAGGAGTCCAAATTTAATTGACTTGAGTTCTGTTAATTTCCTTTACGGCTAGATTTATGCACCCCCTGATTTTGTAACGTTACAAATTGATAACAATATAATGATTTTGTTCCAAGGCAATGTCATAACTGTGAAAGTGATCAGGTATAAATGATCCCCATTATCATTAACGCTAGATCTTTGGAACTGTGATAAAACTAGAAAATCGTCCGCTGAGTTTAATCATCCGTAAAGTATAAATCAAATGTATGCAATACATAATAATATATGATATAAAATCGGCACCGCGCCTTATTCTATAATATAGCTATTACATATATTTTAAAGTAGATCTTGTGTATATTTAGGATATGTAGCTACAAAATAACGACAATCAGTGACGGCTAAGAAAGACTAGTTGACAACTAAGAATAGTTTGGTGACGTCTGGAAAGACAGATGACATCCAGGGAAGACTGGTATATGGGTGTGAAGTCAGCCCAACACACAGTCCCCGTGAGGGAACACCACAGCAAGCAACAACACAGACAGGAGAACAACACCCGAGGGTCTTCCGAGAGGGGGGAGGATGAAAAATCCAATGAGGCAGATATGACGATAACGACTCGGCTTGTACAACGAACACTGACAGGAATTACGGCAGAAACAAAGTGTCACTGCGGGAAAGTTTGTAAGAACCTGAAGGGTTTAAAGATTCACCAAGCGAAAGCCAAATGTAGACCCGAGAAGCAGAAGATGGAACGCACAGCTACTACTGATAAGACGGAGGAGGACCACAGCCAGGAAGAACCCCACAGTGATGAGGACTTCTTCACCACCGAAGCAGATCAGGCCGGCATGGAAGCGGAACCCGGTAGTCAGAACCCAACTCAGATTTACCACGTGGGAGTTAGCAACACCGGGAAGGAAGTAGTGCAGTGGCCATCTTCAGAGAACAAAAGATGGGAGGCCTTCGACCACGACCTCGATAATATCTTACAGAGGACGCTGGTAGGTGACATGCACAGAAATATACCATCACTGTCAACATTGGTGTACGCAGTGGGAATTGAGCGGTTCGGAGCAATGCAAGGAGGGAGTAGACAGAAGGAACAAGCAACGCCAAACAGACACCAGAAGGAGATACTAAACCTGCGAGCAGAGATCAGGACCATTACAAGACAGTACAGAACAGCAGACGAGGACGAGAAGAGTGATCTAAAGGAAATAAGAACTGTCCTTAGAGAGAAAAATCTCAATAGAACAGAAAGAATACGGAAAGCCAGACGGGAGAGAGGGAAAAAGAGATCGATGCTTGTGGAAAACCCGTACAGATTTAGAAAAGTTACACTTAAAGGGTCAAAGTCAGGGACACTGAAGAGTTCAAAAGAAGAAGTTGAGAGCTATCTTTCAGAAACACATGGAGATGAACATCAGTGGTGACCATTAGGGCCATGTGGGAGGATAGAATCAGTACCAGAACCAGGTGTACCATTGAACGGAAATAAACCATCATTGAAGGAAATTAAAGAGATTGTCAGGAAAGTTAGATCTGGATCAGCACCTGGGCCCAAAGGTATCCCATATAGGGTCTACAAGAATTGTTCGAAGGTCCTGAGACATCTCTGGAAGCT